ATTAACGATCCAGGTACCTACTTAATGAATGGATGTTGCTATTTAATTGTAATTACACTTGCAGCCGAGGTGCGCACTCGAAACACGTTTTTTCTTTTTAAACCAACCCTTTATCAGTAAATTTCAATGTTATTGTAAAACTAACTGAAAATGTCACTAAATTATTTTTTTCAGGTTTAAAAATATACTTTCACTTTGTATGATTAATGTCATAATATCAGTTTCGAGGGGTACTATCGAAAAGTTATTAATATTGTCTGGTGACATTAGATTAATGTGCCCGGAATTCGAAGAGTAGGTTATTACAACTTTTGTCTAGACATACATTTTTCCACAAAGGTACCATGTAATGCAATCAAATGAAACAAAATGTTAATTAAACTTTCACAAATTATGATTTAACACAGGCCTACCAAATTCACAACTGCTAAATGGTACTTAGTGGAGATTTAGTTTAAGGGTTTAAATTAACAACACCAAATCTACCCACCAGTAGTAGTTAGTGAGAAAAATCTCCTGTAAAAGACTGTTTAAGCTTACAACACAAAGTCATTTTTGCCAATCTTAATTTAAATTTAGCAGTCCCTTAAGCAGCGCTGAGGGACCCTAGTTAAAATTCCGTTTCACCAACGTTTTGGTGTTATCTAAGTTCATAATATTTTAGATTTAGGGAGTCTAAAAACACTTTAGGGCCAGGTTTGATGAAAACGGGTATCATGTCTATTATTGTATTGTAGATAGAATATTATAATGTCACTAAACCTAAAGATATAAAAGTATTTTTTATATTATAACAAATATTCATCAAACTGCACGCGTGGGCTGCGGGGGGTGGTGCATAAAGGGTACGTGAGAAAACAGCAAGTATAATATTCACAATATCGGAATTACTGCGGCGGTCCCCAGAGGGCGCAGCGTCGCCCGCGCGATGTCGCGCGCCGCATTTATTATTTATATTCATTACATTGCAATTTTTTTTAATATCTAGACGTGTCAACTGTACCCCAGATTCAATAAAACATACAGTTACTAACTATGTAAGTATTGGAACTAAAAAACAAATAAACATTTTTTTCTTGATATCTCAGTTTTATAGGACAATGATTAGTAGCAAGAAATATACGAGTATATAAAAGTAAAACATGACAGTTACAATACGAACGAGGTTTTAAGACACTTTTTAAACCGTAACAGGGGGCGCTAGTGAGCTATCATAATTTAGTACGACTTATGTCTACCGGTTTATAGTTTATGTAAATTGTTTTTTTTATGTTTACACAACAAAAGTAATATACTTACGAACGATCCTTCTGGAGCGTTTTCAGACCAAATTTAGATATAAATAAAAAAATATATTGTCATTTTATAAAACGTAAAAATTATGCCCCGGGTGAGGATCGAACTCACGACCTTAAGATTATGAGACTTACGCGCTGCCTTCTGCGCCACCGAGGCTATGGGTACTATCTTAAAAAAACATATCAAAACCAATTTAAAAAAAAAAACTACTAGATAAGATAATGTTTTGCCAGATTGTCTATCTGATCATTTTTTACTTAACTGGTTAAACCGACACAAAATTAGAAATAGTTCCTCTTTACTACATACGTAGATATTTGTAGGTTTATGTTTTTTCTGAGAATGTAAAAACAAGAGATAAACAAATAAAATCCCTTGGAAAGTATAACCTTCGGTGCAGTGAAAGTTGGAAGGAAAACAAGTCGCGTGATAAACGACTTCACTTAGCGACCTGCAATCAAAAACACTGCTTTGTAGCTGCTTTTATTTCATTTGTCTAACATAACATTATGTTTTCACTTCGTTCATTTTTTAAAGAAATACTACATAAACAGTCAAGACCTAAACATTTAATTTAATTTTCATAACTTCAATTACTAAATGATTTGTTACGACTAAGGTTAAGAGCTGTTCCTGTGAATTAGACACAGTTCCATGACAAAACAAAAGAAAACTGATATAACGTGAATATAACTTCCATACTTCATTTTTAAGATTATAGAAGGCTGCTTTCACCCGCGACTCTGTCTGCGCGGATTAAAAAAAAACAAGTAGCCCATATGTTCTTCCAGACTATACTTTACATCTATCCCTATTTTATGAAGGTCCGTTCAGCCGTTTAACCTACAAACTCTAACAAACATACATCCATCTATCTTTTCGCAGATTGTTAATAGATGATGGAACCTTTCAAGTACCTTAGCATTATATGAAAGCATTAAATGAACGTAATACCGTAGTGATAAGATTTAGTAATGCACCTCGCAAGATGCAGCGACTGAGCTGTCGTGTAATCAGATAATACGTCGGTTACGGCGCACGCCGGCCGCCGCGCTATATAATTCAATTTGCGCCCTCCGAGGCCACATGCTGTGCGCCCCACACCATTCCGCTGTTTTTAATTAACGAATATACATACATTCTTTTGCATTTAGATTATTGTTAGCTGCCACTGTAAGATGTGAAAACCGTAAGATCTCCATGTCAAAGATTAGCTGTTCCTCGCGACTTCGTACTCGTGAAATTAAGAAAAATAGTAACAACATAGCTTATTTTACACAGCGATAACGTAGCTTTTTAAAGGTGAGAGAATTTTTGAAATCTTCCCAGCAGTTTTCGAGTTATTTCAATGTATGTAATGAAAATAAATTTTCTCTTTATAACATTACTACGACAATATGAGAACATTTAACAAGACTATTTTCAAAAGATTCAAGATAAAGCGCTTGTAGTCAATATAGGTGTTTGTTAACTAAATTTTTTTCTTCTTGATGATACTGTTGAAAGACTTGACTCATTTTTAATAATCTATGATCGACGGTATAGAAGACCAGAATTAAAAAATGAATTTGCTATCCCATTTTCAAAAATTTGTTCCAATAAATTACATGCATAATCCGATGTGTATAGCAAAGACAATGTCCTAGGGGTTTAAGGTGGAAGTGTAAGGGGAGGAGGTTGCGGGGAGGGTACCGGGGTTTCCCCGGCGACGGAGCACCTGAGCCTGTGATTGATGACGCCCGCCGCCGCTGTCGGTGCCATCGCTGTCGTCGACAGCGCAGCCGTGTTACATTATGCTAACTTTAATCAAAGCTTCTTAGTATAAGGGTAAAAGTCTAGGTTACATTTAGACAATTTTATAATCGAAAGGTAAATAGTTCATGATAATTTATGACACAGACTGCGTTAACTATGTTATAAATAGGATCCCAGAGTAAGTAGAAAGAAGGACGAAGAAGGTAGTGGTAACATATGTAAAAAATTAAAAACTTGCGAAGTGCAGCTCGATATTATAAAAAAGTATTTACCATTTAAAATTATCACTTCTACGTTTATGTAGGTAGATTTGAAAGTAAGCGCCTAATTTTAGATACCTACAATTCCCAAAATATTATTATTGTAATGAACAAGTCTTTCGTACTAAAAATGATGGTATTCGTTATTCTATTCAAATAACACTGAGAACTTGGATAGTTGATAGCTACTTTACATTGACTAAATCTAAGTTCCGACGAACTTGCGCAAGTCGAGTAAATAAAGCAGACCGCCTTTATTTACTCAGTATGTGCAGTTCCGTTGGCTGATAGCTAACGCTAAAGTCGACGGAGGGGAAGATCGCGCGGCGGACCTCGGCTCGGCCTTGCGACTTGACTAGCGAGTACTCAGTGCTGCCGCTGCTTGTCAAAGTGGCCGCCGGCGTGTTTGCACGACTAATGAGCGGCTCCCCGGAGACGCTGTGTTTGCCCCCGGACGCCCCCGAGCGCCCCGACCTAGCTTTTTCCTACGCTCGGCTTTGCTCAAACATTCTCCCCTAGCTCCTACCCCTACCCCCTTTGCCAATGTTCTGGGGCTCAGCGTCGCGGTCTCTGTTTGCGCCCCACTCTATACCGTATCGGACTTTCAAGTGCAAATTGGAAAATTGTAGGCAAACTTTTTACAAACCTCCGAAATCGGCTCGATGTATGCACAGATATTTATAGGAAATCAATACGTCCTGTTTAGATACTTTCAATTAGATTATCAGCTACTAGGAATTCAATATTAACATACTAAAAAAATATCAACGGCTAACTAAGAAAAAACATTAAATAATTGCTATTTGTACCCTGGACATATTACTAACCTCACTCTTCCACAGCACAGTAACATGTTAAACATATATTCCTCTGTATTTATGTATGTAATAAAAAAAAACGTACAGATGTGCTAAAAGTTGGTAATGGTAATTTAACAAAGGAGTAAATTATTTTCCTCGTGGATGGAATACATTGTCTTCTAAAACAACAAAACTCGCACCTGATATAAGGAAACGCCCGATCCGGCACTTGGAGTTTTCAGTTTT